TTAAAAAAAAAAAAAAAAAAAAGTTAGCGCCTATGAAAGTTGCTGAATCCACTGAAGTCCTCGATCCAAAAAGGATGGCTTATTTTTTGCTTAAAAAGCTTTAAATGTTTATCTTAGAAAAATTAAAATGGAGGAGAGAGACCTTTGAGGAAGAGGGAAGAAACATGTAAGGGAGCAAAAATATAACATGGTAACCTTGTAAGGCTTTGAGGAAATTCTAAGGGTTTTTTTCCTTCTTAAAGGCCAGAAAAAAAAATCCAAGGGTCAGTTTGAGAGTTTACAGATACTAGATTACATAAAGGTGGAAGCATAACGTAAAAGAAGCATAGTCAAGAACTTCAGATTTTAATTATTAAAAAATTGTATGCATTAGGCATTAGATAAAAATGCATATCTACCAAATCTTCACTGACAATAAAAGTTACTTGGATATGAAAAATCACTTCAATTTACAATGGCAATATTTATCCTTTCCCCCTCCTCCCACTCCCTTCCTCCCCAAATTCAGCTTATTTTTTTCTTGGGAGACGTATAGCGCCACTGCATTAGAACGTACAAGAAATGAAAACAGTGAGTACAACTGATATAGATCCATTGACTTTTTATTACAAATTTACTTGATCACGTGGCTTCCAAAAGTTTAAATCAATACCCTATTTTCTGTATGCCAGTACAAAGCAAAATCTATTTTACAAATTAAATACCTAAAAATTTGACAAAAATAAAGTTTTATGGAAAACAGTTATAAAAATCTTAAATCCCCTTTTACGAAGTTAAGAGGTAATATTCCCTCCGCACCCCTGCAGTCGTTATACAATATTAATGTTCATCATTTTTAGAATAGGTAGGTATATTATATTTTGCTGTTAGCATACAAAAGTCATACTAATAGCTTTATTTGTATATACTCCAGTTAGTGCATGAATGCCATCTGATTGTAATATAATCAACTATCTTTAACTGAATCCTAATTTACATTTAATAGTTTGCATAGTTTGAAAGGGATAAAGGTTATATTACAGCTAATCATAAAAAGAGTGGTTACAGTGCTATTTTTAAAGGCAACAAAGTAATTGCTCCCAAATGAAGTTATCGGTCTGCTCTAGGCAGGGGTTAAAATTACCAGCAGCTTTCTGCCTTGCCTGATGTGACTGTTACGTCTCACTAGCCATTCAAAGTGGACAGCCTCTCTCTTTAGAACGTCTGAAAAGTTCTTAGTAAATTGCTAGTTTTGCACTACTTCTCAAAGAATGCTATATTGAGCAAATTTCAACCCCTGCAAGGGATACTCAAAAAAGTGACACTGTCAAGTATTTTTTTTAAAATAAAGGGTTTTAATTTTTAAAACTCTCCATTGTGTATGATGCCCTCTAAGAAGTTTGAGAATAACACCCACTCCTCACCCCTATACTGGATTTTTCTATTTGATGGCAACTGAATTTCCCCTCCACTTCATAGGGTGCAAAAGCCAACTTGGCTTTATTTGTAAACTTCCTTGTTGTCATAGGCATCTTCAATGCTTTCCACACAGTTTTCTGGTTTGTTAGTTAGCTTTTGCTCCCCCTGTGGCTGGATGGCTGCCTCTTGCAGCACAATCAGAACAATAAATAAGAGGCATGAATCAACAGTGGCTAATTTTTTTTATTTAATTTCTCAGACAGAGCAATTAATTTTTTTTAAAACAAAAAAATGAACTTAGAATCTGGAGGACATTCGCCATTAGATTATAACCGCTTTAAAGAGAGGTCATATTTTAATTATAAATTACTTGACAGTGTCCCTTTAACTTAAAAATAAACGAATGTCAGTATTGCAATGAATTTCAAGTTTTCTTGCAGTTAGTCATATAAAGTAGTTTTATCATGCTCTTGGACCTTTTCTACAAGACATTTAAAAGCATATCATCAAGGAAAATATAAGGCATATTTTTCAGGAATTAAATTTCTTGGCACATTTGAGCATACTGTCTTTTTAGAACAACACATATGGTCAAATATACCATTACCTTTATTCATCTAACATTAACAGGGTTTTCCAACTGTATTTTGTTTTAAATACTGAGATAAAGAACCTTGGTAAAGTACCGAGCACCTCAGGGAAAAAAAAAAAAAGAGATGCCAATAAAATTAAATAAAATCCTTTACAGTCATTTAGTCATTCATCAATATCATTTATAAATTCCTAGAATATCTGGATGTGGATTTAATTTAAAACAAAACACAAAAATAAAACACTGACCACAAGTTCTCAGACACTGTTCACAACACTTTGCTAAAACTGTGTTAAACTGTAATGGTATGAATGGAACTGCAACAACCCATGCACTTCTTCACCCAATCAGATACCATGTAGGATCTGAATTTTACAGGTAAAGATTTCCCTTTAGTCAGTGTTGACCCTGGGGAAAAGCCTATGTATTTAATAAAGCTTACATTAACTCAAAAGTAAGGAAGGACACTTTGCAGTGTTTTCACTGACTCACATTACTTATTGCTGATAA